CCAACTTCTTTATTAAAATGATTCATTAAAAAGATGCGTTTTGAGACGTGTTTTAAATGTAGGCAAGGAAGGTAAATTATGGATACTCGGGGGAGGGGGTGTAAGCTATTCCACAAGTAAGGACCCTGGAAGGCAAAAGATCGTTCACCATAGCTCACAATCGAACGGGTCTTTTAAAGGAGCTAAATCGCTAATATTTGGGACCTAGAAATTGACACAAATGGGTCACAACGCATATAATAATGTAATATGAATGTATATAAACTGATTTACATGCAATCGTTTCCGTTTTTACGCTAATTTCAAATCAGTTGTGTTCAGCGAAATACGCCAGAAATCTCAATCGAATGGCAATCTCTTGCGTCTGGTTATTCCAGTCGACACCGATAGTACTTATTGCGCATGCTCTTCAAATAAGAATATAGTGTCACCGTTTGACAGGACTTGTGGAATATGTCTATCCTCGTTCTTCGAGTCCCTTGTTACAAATGGCACAAGAACGTATTATGGTACACGAATGTACCAATGGTAAAATGTTTATTTTGTCTTAAATATTGGATATCAGAAGCCCATCTTTTCCCGGTAAGATCACAACACCAATGTTGATTTAAATTGACAAATAATTCGTGTTTTGTCGAAGACTTTGGATAATATTTAGTTGGAGACTTAGCTATTTTAATTAAGAGGCTACCATTTGATGACCACAAAGTACGATTAGGAATATAGAATTCTAATAGGTTGCACAAATAAAAAGGTGCCATGTGATTAAGACATTTAAACGTTAATAAAGTATTTTAAAATGGATTCTAAAACGAATAGGGGGTCAGTGTAAATGGTAGAAAACCGGAGTAATGTGGTCATTAAAAGTAGTTCTACTTATTAGTCTGGCAGCAATATTCTGCACCTTTTGAAATTTATCTATCAATCTCAACCTGCTGGGAAGGCCAATTAAAAGAGAGTTTCAGTTATCAAGTCTAGACGTGACCATTGAATGAATTAAAATCCTCGGTTTTTATCAGCGTTCAGTTTCAAAAAGTTATTGGACATCCATGTCTGAAGTTCAAATATACATAATTTGATCTGGGTCTTGGTTACAGCTGCACCATTTGACGGTTTAAATAGGTATAATTGTGTGTCGGCAGCCTTGTGACGAAATTCCACACTAGATTGCCCAGAATGGAAGTGTACAAACTAAACAGCATGGGCCCTAACACTGATCCTTGCGGAACTCCATACTCAAGAGTAGTAACATCGGACGAGCGACCATTGGCAGACACCACTCTCTACAATACCAAAACGTGGAGACAGGCATTTCAAGAGAATGCTGTAATCGACAGTGTCAAACACTGCTGACAAATACAACAGTATAAGGATGACACATTTCTGAGCGTCGATGGATAACACGCTGTCATTTTATCCGAAGTAGAGCGGTTTCTGTACTATTATACCTCCTGTGGGCTTTTCTAGACATTCTGGTGTCAAAATTAATGGGCTGAGCCAGACATTCATATATGCAGTCTAAGTCAGTGCCCCACCCCACCCAAACCCACAAGCATAGGATTGAAGCCACCCCACTTGAACCCTATTATGAGACCTTATGATCAACAGCGTTGACTTCGAAGATGTATGTCTGGATTCTACAGACTAGAATGTGTACTTTCAGAAGTCTGTAATTAAAAAATATAAACCATCAAAATCTGACATAAAACAGGCAACAATGAAACTAAACTTAATATTTAACAACATATTTATTGCTTGAAAACAATCTTAGAAACAAACAGTAAGATATTAAGTTGAATACACATATTAACAAGCAGTTGTCATACAAGATACCCCATTATTTTGCAAACTTTATATTTTACAAAACAATCTTAGAAACAAATAGTATACAAACTCTAAGATAAAGTTAAATGAACATATTAACAAGTGGTTGTCATACAAGATAACAAGAGACGACCACATTTTGCAAGAGATGGAAAGAGAACAAACTAAAATAGCAATTATGGCACATTTAGGGCCATGATATATGCATCAATATCAAAAGAAACAAGTTTCATCAAAATTGGATAAAAATTAAAATTGTAGAAGTTTAACTAATTTGTAACAAAGATTCAATAATAACGAATTTTCCTTCTTCAGCTGTTTAAATATTGAAAGCCATACAGAACATGTAAAAACGTTTTTTTCTTCAGATAAAATGTCTGTTTTCAGTGATTTACAATCCATCATCACATTTGCAAACAGGTGTTGCAATGTCTGATGGCAGCAGGACACAGATTACGAGCTTATTCCATCCACGCCAGGGACTTATAATCCTATATTTACCATCAGACATTGCCACTGAAAAGATTATAATAAATGAAAAAAATAAACTACAGACAACTCTGTAGAGCTTTTAAACGAAAAATAGAATAAGCATTTGCCATGCAAGATACGCCCACATTTTGCAAGCTTATTCGTACAATAAGGGGCCATAATCCAGGAAGTTACGGTCCGATATGTGCGAATATCCACAGGAACCTAGATCTTTGAGATATTAACATATTTTAAGTTTCATCAAAATCAGTTAAGGATCGTCCATTTTGTGCGTCAGTTTCGGTTACATTTTTATGAAGTCAACCATCATAAGGGTGTAACGATGATATATTCAAACGTTTTTTTTTAATTGGATAAAAATTGTGAACTCTAGAGAGACCACAAGCAAAAAATGAGATTTTTCGTATAATCAGGGGCCATAATTCAGGAAGTAACATTCCGATATGTGCAAATATCGAAAGGAACCAAGATGTTTGAGATATAAACATGCATTTCAAGTTTCATCAAAATCAATGGAAATTGTCACCTCTAGAGTGTCCACAAGCTAAAAACGTGATTTTTCTTACTATCAGGGGCCATAATCCATGAAGTTATGGTCAGATATATGACAATATCAAAAGGAACCAAGATCTATGGGGGATAGACCTATATTTCAAGTTTCGTCAAAATTGTGACCTGTAGAGTTTCCACAAACAAATTGTGGATGGACGGACAGGGGCAACGACTATCTAAATTTCAAGTTGTGGACGGACGGACTGGGGCGCGGACAATTATAAGCCCACATGAAAATGTACGAAAATGATTAAATCCGAGAAATTTCTAATAAGCAAGAGGCACAACTACTATTACAGGTTGATGTTTGTATGAATTTCATCGATGAATCATTTTAGTCTCCTGAATTGATTTTAAATTTTTATTTGCTCTCATTCGAAATTCTTTTCTTTCATTGAACAATTTTGATCTTATTTTTTGGTATTTCTTATCTGTGTTAACAACTGCAAACACAGATTATGTTGCTGTTTCTTTATAAATGACAGTATTTCCATCTTGCCTAAAAGACAAAAAAAAAAAAGAAGATAGTAATGCATTAAAGTTCAGGTTAATTAAAAGGAACCTTAGATCATTTGGGTTTAAAGACAGGTAATCGACTTTAGGCAACTTTACTTAGAATTATCTTTGCAAACTTTGAGATTGTATTCAAAACTATGTTATTTAGTTTTAAAGGAGCTAAATCTATTTCAGGCGAGATCAAACACTAGAACACAGGTTTGATCATGTGAAATCTGAAACCTGTCAATTACATGTATTGCCAATATAACACTGCATACCTAATTTCGTTAACAAGTGGTTGCCATGCAAGATACGCCAACATTTTGCAAGAGATGGCCAGAGAAGAAGCTAGAAAAACAAAAAAGTGGCCATAATCCAGGATGTTATGGATCGATATGCATCAATATCAAAAGGAACCGAGATCTTTGGAATATAAACATACTTTTTAAACTTCATCAAAATTGGATAAAAATTGTGATCACTAGAGTGTCGACAATCTAATGATATACAATTTTGTATACAATCAGGGACCACAATCCATGATGCTACAATCTGATAAATGCCAATATTGAAAGGAATTGAGATCTTTGGGAGATATACCTATCTTCTTTCGAGAGTATCTTCAACCTTGGTATTACATACTTTTACACTATTTGAGTATGAGGAGCGGGAGTTTCAGATAGATTTACGAACTTTGAACGCTACCGTCATTAGGATAAAAATTCTGACCTCTAGCTTAAAACATACAATCAGGGGCCACAATCCACAAAATTAAGGTCAGATATGTGCAAATATCGAAAGGAACTGAGATTGTTGTGATATAAACATATATTTTAAGTTTCATCAAAAGGAAAAAAGATCTTTTGGTTATAAACAATTGTTTTAAGTTTCATCGAAATTGGATGAAAATTGTGACCTCTAAAGTGTTCACAAGCTAAAAGCATGATTTTACGAACAATCAGGGGCCATAATTAATAAATTTATGGTTTGATATATACCAATATTGAAAGAAACCAAGAAATATTTGGGAGATAAAACTATATTCTAAGTTTTGTCAAAATCGAATCAAAATTGTGACATGTAGACTGTACACAAACAAAATGTGGACGGACAGGGGCGATAACATTATGTGGACGTAAGGATCATCTGACTCTTCATAAATTACATGATAACTCACCTCTACCAATATTTTCAAGTATCCTGCCCATTAATTTTACATGGGTAACTCCTGGAGGACACTGATAATTTTCTTTATTGATATTTTTTGAATAGCCCATGTGTTCTAAAAATAATGACTCTTCTCTTTCATTCATGTCCAAACTCTGTATCTCATTTTCGTGGCCGTAATTGTAGAAGATAGATGTACTTGTGTACACACTTCCTTTATCGCATGCCATCCAGAGCAGTGGGAATTTTGTGTTTTTGTGGCAAATATAAACTTGTTCGAATCTTTGATTCCAAAGACAGAACGAAAGTCTTATAAGAGTTTAATTCCAGGTATTAGGTCCTGGGGTATCAAAACCGGTACATATTTCCTGCCTTTCCCATATATGTATGCAAGCCTATACTGGCCTACAAGAAATTTTTCAGCCGGGTCATTAATTTTGTCAATTGAAGACTTGGGGAGCCAACTGTCCGATAAAGCAGCAGTGAATTCATCAATAAGCATTCTGGATGGTTTTTCCCCGCGCCTTGTATTATATAAAGTCAATCTTGTTCTCAACCATGTATAGTTCACTATATCAAAATCTTCATAGAAGATTGTTGGCATGCTTATCTGGCTTCTGATAATGTTTCTGCAGATTTGGACTTGTATGCAATTTTAAACATTTCTAATTCCTTGTACTTCTCATCTTGCATCGTTTCAGAAAAATAACCAGCCAAGCGCTTTATTGTTCTCATAATCACTGCATCTCCAAATAATTTCAAACCATGTTTTTCTTTTTTTCCATCATCAGTCATCGACACTATCTGCAGAGCTTCACGCAATTCTTCTAAATGCTGACGCCGAAACATTGATTCCATAGTGCATGAATCATCAGTTGTACACACCGATTTAAAAACTAGAAATATTCGAGCCAAGAGTCTCATTTCAATCATAACTACCTTACTAACCTCATCTGTCTTTCCAACTTCATGTCTACGTAAATTAAAGTGTTTATATCCAACTTGTTTAATCAATGGATCAGTCCGACACAGAGCACCAATTTCATCATCTCTGAATCTGTTTAATAATGAATTAAATTCCTTATCGTGAAGAAGCTTGTCTTGGGTCTTTTCCATAAGCCTTGGCTTTAGAGGTGTATTAGATGAATTTCTAACACACTTATGCTTCCAAAAGAATTTACTTGAAAAAAAACTCTTGCACTCGAAACAAACACGAAGGTTATCTTTGTGTTTTGATCTTCGCTCCCTCATGTTGGAAGGTCTGTCGTGTGCCATCTCTTGGAGATTAAAATGAAATATGCCTTCTCTCCGTTTCTGATCAAAAAACTGGTCTTGAACACTTTTATCATAATTGAGAACATCTTTAACATCATCAACATCTTTGTGCTGTCTTAAAATATGTCGTCTTAATTTTCCCCCTTTAATAATATTCTTGCAATACATACAGTACCGCTCTGGCTTCTAAAATGGAAAAGAAATAATACTGCCATAAGATTTGGCGAATCTGGCATAATCTTAATGGACTGCTAGTATTACAAGAGTGTAACAAGCGGTTGCCATGCAAAATACGCCCCCATTTTGCAAGAGATGAACAGAGACAGAGAAGGAGCTCAAATAAAGAAGAGATTTTTGTGGAGAGAGGGAGAAATGAGGTTTAATGTCCACTCAACACAAACTAGGTCATTTCGGGACTAACACATAGTTTAATTTTATTTCAATAATTCGCTTGTGCGTAGGGGGCTTTAGCAGTGGGAGGATACCGGAGGATCCACCGAAAACCCACGAGGTTGGACAGGCGACCCCACTCCTTGTCACGTACAACCGGGGAATCGAAACCCCGCCAGTTGACTCAATGACAGACCGTATACTATGATACAGCGTGCGCGTGCTAACCATTTGGCCATCCAACCCCCCCAGAAATTTTTGTAAATTTAGGGGTCACAATCCAGAAAATTACTATCCGATATGCGTGAATATCTAAATATTTTAAGTTTTATCAAAATTGAATGAAAATTGTGACCTTGGTATTACATACTTTTACACTATTTGAGTACAAGGAGCGACCATTTTTATTCCAATTTTTACGAAATTCTAACTCAACCATTATTATTGTGTAAGGGTGATATATTTAAACAGTTTTTAAAATTCGATAAAAGTTGTGACCTCTAGAGGGACCACAAACTAAAAACTTGATTTTTGTACAATCAGGGGCCATAATCCAGGATGTTACGATCCGATGTGCGTGAGTATCGCATGGAACCAAGAACTTTGGGTTGTAAACCTTTATTTCAAGTTTCATCAAAATTTGGATCAAAATTGTGACCTCTAGAGGGTCCATGCGCTAATAGCAAGGCCATTTTGTTAGGCAGTTTTGATCCGATTTTCACGAAATTCGAACTCAATCGTCATAATGGTGTAACATTGATACATTTTAATGGTTTTTGAATCAGATAAAAATCCATGAAGTTGCGGTCTGATATGCGGGAGTATTGTAAGGAACAAAGATCTTTAACATACATTTCAATTATCATCTAAATCGGATAAAAATTGTGACCTCTAGAGTGGCCACAAGCTAAAAATGTGATTTTTTTATACAGTCAGGGGCCATAATCCGATACATTCCAATATTGAACGGAACCAAGATCCTTTGGAAATAAACCTATATTTAAAGTTTCGGCAAATTCGGATAAGAATTGTGACCTGTAGAGTATCCACAAACAAATTGTAGGCGGACAGGGGTGACAATATATTCCAATGGATCTTTGCTTACTATTAAATTTTAGTTTCTAACAAAGTTCTCTGTTGGGACCAATTTAAGAGTAATTAATAGAGGTCAGAATACTGTATGTAAAACTGTAGCAAGGATACAGGCAAACGAATATAATTTACATACCCTAAAGATATTTTTTTTCTTATTAGTAGCAGGTTTTCTGCAAAAGACAACATTCAACATTACAACAGTCATCTTCAGTCAATTTTGGCCATGAATGTTTTGATAGGCCTAGAACTATATTCTACACCAATTCAGTACCTAATTACAAATTGCATACTCTTCAGACAAGAAAATCAGAATTTAAGCATACTCAACCTATTTATCGCAAGTAACATTGAGCATCAGAATTGGTATTCACTGACTATTAAATCTTAGTGTAATCTGCCTTTCAAAAGTTTCAATTTTAGGTTCAATCCCCAAATATTTAAATATAACAATATAAACAAGAGTTGACAATATCATTGCCAAATTAAAGATAGATGTGGAAAATCAGATTAATTAGGGAGAGATAAATGGGGTTTAATGTGCACTCAACAGAAGCCAGGTCATTTTATGACTAACAATAACATATGGTACAATTTTATTTCAATAATTCTCCTGCGCATAGGGGTCTTTAGCAGTGAGAGGAAACCAGAGGACCCAGAGAAAACACACAAGGATAGGCATGCTACCATACTCCTTGTCACGTGCAAGTGTGGGGTCGAAACTACGCCACTTGACTCAGACCTTATGATCTGAAGCACACTAGACACACCTGCCCGACTGCCCCCCCCCCCCAATGGTCACCATGCAAGCAAGATACACCCATATTTTGCAAAAGATGGACAGAGAACAAGCTCAAAAAAAGAAGCGATTTTTCGTAGAATAAGGAGCCATAATCCAGGAAGTTACGATCCGATATGTGTGAATATCTACATGTGAATGTCCACAACCTTGGTATAACATACTTTCACACTATTTGCGTACAACGAGCGACCATTTTGTCAGGCAGTTTTGGTCTGATTTTCACGAAATTCAAACTCAATCATCATTAGGGTGTAACGGTTAAACATTCAAACGTTTTTTTAAATCGCATAAAAATTGTGAACCCTAGAGGGACCACAAGCTAAAAACACAATTTTTCGTTCTACTAAAAGTATTAAGGATAAAATACTTACTTTGATCCAAGGTTTATTACAGGAAAAGGCACTGAAAATACAGACATGTTAAGTAAATAAACTTGTTGGAAAAATGGAGGAAATTGCACCCAAGAAGAGCATGTTTAGAATTATAATGGTGTGATAAATCTGCCAATCGCTAAGATAATGTTTCTCAAATTAATCACTTTAAGATCAACTGGCTAGTAAGTTGTTAACTTGTCATTGGTTAATCTTTTATGCATTGTTCATCTATTGACATGTCAGTTTTAATTACAACATTTACCTTTATACTATTATTTTAAAAGAGATGGGCAGAAAACAAGCTACGGACCCCTTCGTTTTTCGTCCGGTTTGGTGAAACAAAGATATTTTTAAGGTCACCCTAACCATGACTTCAGTTTTAACAGAAAAATATGGGCGTATAAACATGTTTAATAGAAAGAGATACCTTCAGTAGACCTATTAGCATTATTCAAATCTTCGACAAAATCAATAACTGGTTCTGTAATAAAAATTACAAAATAATGAATTGGAATATACAAGCTGTTGCCATGCAAGACACGTCCACATTTTGCAAGATATGGAAGGAAATGAAATTGAATGGGGTTTTAACATCCTACTGTTCTGCTCCTACTTGGCTATTGAAGACGGGCATACACCATACAGTGGCCTACTCTTATTTTGAATCCCAACTGTCAAGGGCTCTTTAACGTGCACGCCCATGTGTACACGGGACCTTTTTTTTTTTTGTCCCATCCAAACGACTATACGTTGTCCCTTGCCCAGCTCTCCGTCCTACACCACTGTCGAGGGGTAACAATGCCGAAAAATCCTGATGACCTTTCTCAGCCAACGCAGGGATCGAACACGGGCCAACGTCCATCCCACTGAGCCAATGTGGCTCCTCAGATATGGAAGGACACTTGGAAATTAGATAGAGCTCATCTTCTCATTGTCCAATGCTTTACATCAAATTTCTAAACAAGTGGCTGCCATGCACTTTGCAAGAGATGGCCATAAAACAAGCTATTTAACAAGCCAACAGCGAGGCTGATGTCGCGGAATTCAAAGTCAACCACTATTAGGGTGTAACGGTGATATATTTAAACCTTTTTTTTAAATTGGATAAAACATGTGACTTCTAGAGGTTCCACAAGCCAAAAACACTATTTTTCCAACAATCAGGGACCATAATCTAAGAACTTATGTTCCGAAATGCTCAAATATCGAAAAGATCCAAGATCTTTGGGTTATAAACATAATCAAAATCGGATAAAAATTGACCTCTAGAGTGTTCACAAACAAATTGTGACCAGGCGTACAGGGACAACGGCATAATACGTTCACAAAAAATTAGTATAACTTGCCAAGCAACTAACAATTGACTACAATGATGGAATTTAAATTTAAAAGAAAGAAATTAGCATAGTTAGTATGATTTATCTTTACATGAGACTAATAAAAGTTTGGCTGGAAAATCATACTTTTATTATTACCTGGTACAAATACAGGTTGTTCTGAACAAGCAGCGCTGATTGAATCTGAAAACTGATCATCTGATGCTGAAAATGAAATGAGAAATTAATCACGATAAAGAATTTGATGAAATTCTAACGGGTGTGTAGCTAGACCCATTATAATATATAGGCACAAGGTAGATAAACCTGTGTAGCAAATTTTAATATTATGTAAGAAATAAATATAGAGCTGGTTGTTCTCGCTATAATATTTCAAAAAAAGACAATGCAAAATGAATATATTAAAAAATTTCATCCAAATTACTTTAATTTGAGCCAAGTTATCAATGATTGTAGTTTTGACAAGATGTGTGCATTGATCCAACCACCCTACAGGTCATTCGGGTATTAGCCTCTCTTCTCCATTTTTAAATTAAATCATTGAATGGCCGAACTGTTCTAATCTACTTAAAATCAGAGCCATTCGATGGCATAGAGAGTTGATTATGGCCTTGTCATGTTAATAAATGTCTAATTAATAATTTATATAACATTAAATGCCCAAAGAAAGACCTGCAATGGGCAGATTTAGCTTTCATATACTAAACAGCAAAAAAAAACGTCCGTACGATTTCAAAATCAGAGAGGCACTGTACATGGAGATGGCACCTGGAACCACACTCTCTGAAAAGCCTAGCGCAATCCATCGACTGTGTTTGGTCTTGGTACGACATTATTAAGTCTCCTCTGAATTTCATCCCAAAGATGTTCAATCAGGTTTAAGTCCGGACTAAGGGCTGGGCAGTGCATAACGTTGACACCGTTCTGCTGTAAAAAGTCCCGAGTAACACTGGCGGTGTGGGCATGGGAGTTGTCATGCTGGAAAACGTTGTTTCGATAACGTGCGAAATGTGGTATGACATGGGGTATGAGAGCTTGATAAATAACTAAACAATAACTAAAGCTGTATTATCTTTTAAATAAAAAAACAAATCACACCAGTTACAGTTTTTCTGTCTTTAATTTTCAAAAATCCTTTTTTCAAAGATCAAAAGAACAATGTATTGTATGTCATACTTTGTCTGCAAGATTAACAAGAGCATCGCTACCACTACAATACATGTCCACATTCCTGCTTTGATTGATATGTTACTTTACTATACTTCAATAGTAAATAGCCACACTATCACAAATATGACATGTGAAAGTATTTTGCTTTGCATGCAAAATAATGTTCCTCTGGCGCTCAGTAAAGACAGCATGACAAGACTTGGAACATGAAGTAAGAATTTTACATAAAGAATATGTGATATAGTATGCATAATCTCACCATTTTCTTTATCATCAGAAAATTTTCGTTTAACACCACGTAAAGCAGGGAAATCCTGTTCTATAACAAAGTCTGAGCTATCACTGTCCTCTTCAAAGTCTGAGCTATCACTGTCCTCTTCAATGAATGTGTTATCACCTGCAATAGTTAAATGAAGGTAGTTAAATAGTTCACACTAAAAATATTTCAGCTGAGCAACAATATATTTACAGTAAGCGTTATTCTTAATATTTTCTAAAGCTTCCCATCACAGAAAAGCAGCTTAATTCCCTCAAAATATGACTACAGTAGAATCTGAATGAGCAGCCACTCCTATTCAGCGACATCTCCTTATAAGCGGTCACGATAAATTCCCCCCGTGGAAATTCTGTTGTTTTATCTCTTTATTCAACGGTCACTCCTCTAACGCGGCCAGCGGTCACTATTTTACTAATAAATTCAACAAAACATCGCCCATTCAACGGCCATTGTTGAATGATACCATCTTGTCGTTCTTTGTAACACCCCCGCTAATCCCGTGAGTAGTAGTTAATTAACTGGACCCCCACTGATCAGGTAAAAAGAAATGTAAACATAACAATCAACCCGGGATTATCTGTTGATTAATCTTTTGTTTTATTTAACGACTAACCTGATCATTGTTTTCACGCGTAACGACACATTATTTGATACTGATTGAATAAAATAAAAGTACCGAGTTTTGTCACGATCATCTAGTATCTCTCTTAGCGCCTCCTATAATATTACATACAGAGTTACACCCCCTGTAAATAGGTGATAAAATTAGCGATGTTTTTTGTTCATGTGCTTTTTTGATAAAATAAAATGAATTCATCGATTTTCTTCACAAAAATGGATAAATATTATCGAATGCATCACAATGGTAGACAGTAGTATCGAAGGTTGGTACAAAATGACAAGTTTACAGAAGTTATGTCCGAGATTTGAGTAAAGAATTTTCGGCCGGCGCAAGATTCAGCGACGGCCAAATTTACCGCTTCCAATGCATCCAAGCGTAATATTTAATTTATGTCGGCACAAAAAGCAACGAGATTTTATTAAGAGGCCACTCCCGTTAAGTTATGTCCGAGATTTGAGTAAAGAATTTTCGTTCAGCGCAAGATTCAGCGACGGCCAAATTTACCGCTTCCAATGCATCCAAGCGAAATATTTAATTTATGTCGGCACAAAAAGCAACGAGATTTTATTAAGAGGCCACTCCCGTTAAGCGGTCAGTTGTGAAAATTCCCTTGGGTGGCTGCTTAATGCAGATTCTACTGTACATGGTTAATACGGAGTATATCTTGTTCAGATTTCAAATTTAATCAATAATTCCCTTGGCTAGTGGAGTGATAGAGGAAACCTTCTTGGGTCAAACATGAAAAAGTGGTTTCTTTTCATTGTGAGATGTGATGCTCACTTTTAGAGAGGAGTAATTAATGTCCTCATAGTTACACAAAGTGAAGGTCTCAGACCCACATGTCTCGACTGTGACAGTGTTTTAGTCTCTCTCTGAATTAACACAGAGAGTAGGAGTTATGTTTAATAAAAATTCATGACTGAATAATCGTGGTCTATGAACATACTGCACGTATCTTTAATATCATAAGGACATAATAATTCAGCCATGAAAAACTGAAAGAGAAAATAAAAGATATTTGAAAAATATAAAATAAATGGTGGAGAGTTCTCTCTCTCTATCAACTTACCTGAAGAACAGTCTGCTTCCATTTCCTCTGTAGTCTCTGATCCATCATCAATATTATTTGTGGTTAGTTCTGAAAAAATAAAATACCCATTTTGATAAGATGGAATTGGTAATGGAGGATGAAATAAGGTATAGCAGATGTCTTCTCTCACACTGTCCTCTCCAGTGCTCTTACAAGACTAAGTCTTCTCGTTTTTGGCGAAAAAGCACCATCACATGTGGTCTGGTGGCCTGCACACATCAAAGCATTTGTTCCATTCTGCACATAAAGACAAGCTATAATTTCCTTCTCGATAATTTCATGGGTTCCTATTCGACTGTATGCAAAAAGAAACGGAGATGTGGAGACAAACAATCATTGGTGCATGCTGAAGTTTCAACAATTATTATCCAATTTCCTAATCGAAGCACACTTAATTGTGGAGGAAAAATCTGGTGGGTTACCAAGACGAAAATTGCTGATAACATTAACAAAACAGCGATATGTTTTATCTATGTGACCTACATGTAAATAAATAATTGTCTATTCAAAAGGTCCACATATGTATTGTAAAATCGCTGTAACCCCTGAGACTATGTTTTTTAAACTTGCTCGGATTGTTTGGGAAGCCATCAGGGAAAACCATATGAAAGTTACACATTAATTCTATGTAAAAAAAACCCCTCAAAAACTTAAATTTGTGGGCACTGTTCCACTAGTCCTAAAATGGAACCCTAATTTCCCAGTGATTTCTAACCGCTGCACAGGTCAGAGTTTGGGGATAGAATTTTCACAACTTGAAGAGATTATTCGACCAGTCATATGGAAGAACGTTAAGAGTTTTTAAGAATTTTTTCAAACTTACTGGAATTGTTTGGAAACGCTATGTTTATAAATGTACAATTAAGATATACCTTTAGATATTCTGTCCAGATTATTAATCTTTTCTAGAAGAATATTTGAAGATGCTTCAGTATCGTGGTGTGTTTCAATATTGTGTTTTAGGTTGATTGAACCACTCAATGCATGTTCTTCAGAATCGTGGAGTGTTTCAATGTTTGGTTTTAAGTTAAATGAATCACTCAATGTTTGTTCTTCAGTATCGTGCGGTGTTTCAGTGTTGTGTTTTAAGTTGATTGAATCTCTTAACGTTTGTTCTTCAGTATCGTGAAGCGTTTCAGTGTTGTGTTTAAAGTTGACTGAATCACTTAATGTTTGTTCTTCAGTATCGTGAAGCGTTTCAGTGTTGTGTTTAAAGTTGACTGAATCACTTAATGTTTGTTCTTCAGTATCGTGAAGCGTTTCAGTGTTGTGTTTAAAGTTGACTGAATCACTTAATGTTTGTTCTTCAGTATCGTGAGGTTTTTCAAAATTGTGTATTAAGTTGATTGAATCACTCAATGTATATTCCTCAGGTTCTAGCTTGGGTAATAAGTTGACTGAACCACTCAATGCATGTTCTTCAGCTTTGTGGAGTGTTTCAATGTTGTGTAATAAGTTGATTGAATCACTCAATGTTTGTTCATCTGTATTATCTGTATTACACGTGGGAATATATGTAAAATCATTAGCAGAATCTGAAAAAAAGAGAATAAATTGTCTTTATATATGCTATTTGTTGATTAGTCAAAAATGAAAGTCACTCTGATTGTTTCGAATATTTAGTAGCGATGGAATTGGTCATACAACAGGTTCTGGACAGCCTCTGTTACCAAAATGAGCAGGGCCCGTGAGAGGTGTGATGGCTTGGACACTTGTCCAGGGCCCCGGGTCCTATAGGAGCCCGGAGGTAGGTTGAGTAATGTTTTAAAACAAGCCAACAGTGAGTTTGATGTCCCCCACCCAAATCCCAAAATAAATAGATGACATATATCAATTTATCGCACATTTATTTCTTTCAAAAGTATTGAGCAACCAAATTGATTATCAACTATACACTAAGTTTCATCACTATCAGATAGAATCAATGTTATCTTGTCCTAAAGCATCGACCAATGAAATTGCTTAGCTCCTGTTTAGCTTTAGCTCGAAATGTTAATAATTGAACTCAGTCAAGACATTCAATAATGAACATCTACATCAAGTTTAAACATTCTCCCTCAATTAAAAGCAGTTGTTATGTTCCAAAGTCTTGACCAATCAAATTGCTTATCGCTTCTTAGCCTAAGCAGAAAATTCTAATCATCGAACTTAGTCAAGGTAATGATATAATGAATCTACACTCGGAGTTTCATCACTCTCACTTAATTATAACCAAAGTTATTGTGCCCCAAAGCATCCACCAATCGGATTGCTTATCTCTGCTAACTGTTAGCAGACAATGTTTATTATCAAAGTAGATCAAGGCATTCACCTAATGAACGCCTACACCAAGTTTGAACATTCTACCTCAATTAGGAGAGTTATTGTGTTCCAAAGTCTCGACCAATCACATTGCTTATCGCTCTGCTTACCCTTAGCAGAAAGTGCTCATTATCGAACTTAGGCTAGGTATTGATGTGATAAAACTATACACCTAGTGTCCTCACTCTCACTTAATTAGAACTAAAGTTATCGTGTCCCAAAGCATCAACCAATCAAATTGCTTAGCTCCGCTTACCCCAAGCAGAAAATGCTCATCTTCAAACTCTATCAACAGAGGCGGATTTAATGGGGGGCGCGAGGGGCGTGCGCCCCCCCAATTTTCGACAGTGCCCTTTTTTACTGCTGAAAGTGCCTTTTCTCAGACTCAAATATATCCGTTCCCAACCCGTTGTAGGGATCCCAAATGACTCAAACCATCGACTCAAACACACCAGTCTGGGAAATAGCTCTTGGAATGGCTACAGATGCAAGGAAATGATGGATAATTTTCTTGGGCCCCCCCCCCCCTCAGTGGCGTGCCCCGTCTCCGCGGTCAATGCCTTCATTTTGCAGCGCCCCCCCTTTTCAAAATTCCTAGATCCGCCCCTGATCAAGGCATTCACCTAATAAACACCTACGACAAGTGTGAACATTTCGTTGAATTAGAATGAGAGTTATTGTGTTCCAAAGTCTTGACAAATCAAGCTGCTTATCACTCTGCTTACCTTGAGCAGAGAATGCTCATTATTGAACTTAGTCAAGGTATTAATGTAATGAAACTATGCACCAAGTTTCATCACACTCACTTAATTAGAACTAATGTTATCATGTCCCAAAGCATCAACCAATCAAATTGCTTGTCTCTGCTTAAACTAAGCAGAAAATGCTCATCTTCAATCTCCATCAAGGCATTGACCTAAAAGACCTTCACCAAGTTAGAACATTCTAGCTCAATTAGAGGGAGAGTTATTGTGTCCCAAAAAGTGTGACGGATAGACAGACAGACGGACGAACCCATTTTAATAGCCCCCACTTTTTTTGGAAAGGTTAAGTTTTTTGGGAAAAATTGGTGAATTAAAAACTATACATGTAAGCCACCTGCTCCTGCCCCGGCGCCCATTTGAGGCTATCGCCACCATCAGGGTATCCGGGCCCCAGAAGGTAATCAGGTCCTAGTCCAGGCGTGAAGAAAGCTATAATGATGGTGAGCGCACCAGTGTCACACTTTGCCGCCAGTGATCATGCACGCGGCTATCGATCGCTCTAGCTGCTTAGTATCTGATCATTAAAAAAGAAATGGGAAGCGAAACATTTATTTCGTCTTCATTTCATTAGGCGCTTGAAATCTGAATGTTTTATGATATTTATCCAATTGCTGACCTTTTTCCGACCAATGTGTTTTAGCAAAGTGAACTCAGTTACCCCAGATATACGCCAAAATGAGGTCATGTATCTTGCAAAAAATTTCGAGACACCCAGCTCCCCCTCGCCGAGCTGCTTGTCCCATGGCCTGGAGGGCCCTGTTGCGGACTCTGGAAATGAGTAGAATATGTCATAAATTATAAGCTGTTCAAACTTTTCCAAAGAAAAACATTTGACAGATGTATAATAAATTAATCTCACTTGATTTGACAAATGATATAGCATCTTCCCCCATTAGCTTTAAAAGTGGTTTCAATCTGACAGTACACAAACTTACAGCTAAATTTGGAACAGTTACCTACCAGAAGTCTGGATTGTTTCTGTTTTGAATTCCTTGTTATATTGTAATATTGGATCTTCTGATTTTGCAAATTCAACAACCGTTGAGTTATTATCGTGCGATTTGTTAGGTTCAAATTTTACTGAATAACATCGTGATTTTGCTCTCGTGACAGGTGTATACGGCACATCTTCGATAGATCCAGACATGCTTTCCTTAGACGACGACCACGAAGATGAACCTGGGGAATTTTGCTTGGTTACCACAGACAGATCCCACGATTCTTTGTTATCGTTTTGGTTCGATGGAGACGGGTTTACAATTGACAATGAATTCCAAATATTTCCATATTGTGTTGGAGTCCATATATTTGCTTCATCTGGCAGAGACAAATTATGGGTAGTTTCGTTTGTTAATGGGGATGAATTACACACATTTTTATTGTTAGCTATCGAGGGTGAACTACATGTGTTTATTGATGGTAAAGAAATGCATGTTTTTGCTGTCTCTAAATTCAAGATAGTTTCTGCATTTGACTTTTTTGGTTGATTTTCCTTCAATGTACAAGGTTTTTCCTTAGTCGATACTGAAAAGTGTCCTGCGGTTTCCTCCTTTAATAATACTGGCATGCATATATCTTCATCCGTTGAACTGCATTCTTGAAAATGTGCATCGACATCGCTTTTCAAATTGTTAATAACTGTTCTATTGCTACTTTCTGTTTGGGATTGTGCTTGAAAACTGTTACTGGTAAACAAAGTCTCACAAGAATCTGTCTTCGACACCACCTCGTTCAAAAAACAGTTGAATTTCGCAGAACAGTCTACTTTGATATAGATATGACCTATAACCTCTAAATTCTGGGTAAAGGGAACATGACCTTGACAGAGAACTTGGAGGTTTTTAACCAAATAATTCATAAACTCTGTTGTGTTGAAATGGTGACCATCGTTTATTTCGTCCATGTTATCTCCAATCATCCTGGAAAAGTAAAAAGGTGTTGCTGACAAAAGAAAACATTTAAGCAAAATATCTGTTAATGTGTTATATTAGCCAATTCATACGGACCCCATCTCTGTCAAAAGGTAGCCTACGGTACTTTAAAAATGACGCGACCGGCCGTACCACATGATAAAGCACGGTCGGGATAGTTCAAAGATGGCTGACAAAACTGACATGTGAGAAGATTGGACTGAAAAAATATCATATAATTGCTGATTGCTGTTGCGTTATTTACACCTTGGACGGTGTAATGGGTCCATGTTAACACCTGAAAGTTAGTGTATGAGTGTTGGAGTACCGGTACAGATGTTAACAACTTTGATTTTTTTCCATGTTGATGAATTTGACAGATTAGGATCTTATTCGAATATATAAAGGCCCACAACAAAAAACTGCTTGGAATGATCTTTGGTGACATAAATCCAATGAAAAGTTTTCTGATATGTAAGCTACTTTAAGCTTGCTTTCACATCGCAGTATGGAAAATTAACCAGTCATTAAAATACATGAGTTAATAGGAGAAAATATAGCGGGCAGAACAACTGACATGGTCGCCACCATATTGAATAGTCAATGGTCAGGGTCATTTGCGTTTGGTTCAGACTGTAGTCGTGACCATAGTCTACATCCAAAGGTCGCCCTGGTCGTCCGAGCAGTCAACAAGGGTTGTCAAATATTTTTTCTTAATAAGTAATGGAATCATTTACAAGACACTAAAATCTGATTATGAGTAACAATCCAATAAGTAATTATCAGAAATCATTAGAATTTGTTTTGATTCTATTTCTCATGAGCTTAAACACTGTATAAATTTATATTAACTTTAGCCTCTAGAACAATCACAAGATTTCTCAAGTGAAGAAGTGTATAAATTTAAAGTCAATCGAATATTAACTTTAGCCTTTAGCTAGAGCCTCCACAAAATATTTCAAAGTGGTGAAGGGCAAAAACTCTGGCAGTAATTATGGGAAATCGTTGAAAATCAATAATAGTGAATAGTTTGAGAACGTAAATCACAAAATTAGAATTCATTGGCCTTATCGTAACTTACACCATGACCATAACAAAACGATCAATGTTTAAACCTTGCTCTTCTTATTTCTCACTAACCGTGCACGCACAAGCCGGCATTAACTTACCTTTCAGTTATGCCAATATCTCGCGGTATGGTGAGTTTATTCATACAGACGATGAAAGTAAATAATATATTTTACACAGCCACCGAAAACGCTGAAGGCTCAGGATGACTGACCGAAAAGCAGTCATTAGCAGATTGTGTGGAGAATTATAACGGATTGACTACGGGGTTTGGAACCGTCTTAAGACCAAACGTTGTAAAAGTAGCTAACGGTTCATTATCGGACATACCGGCATAGGCCTGGGGACGCAAAAAGGAAAGAATAAACAGTAAAAAAATAGTTATATAAATAGCCACGCGCACAGCAACCGAAATTAAAGTTTTATTTCGGTGCGCGTTACTATTTAGACGCACCGGTAAGACTTTCACAGGGGCTGTAAAAAGGACAGAATAAACAGTACAAAATCCTTACGCGATCTCCGTTATTTTTTAAATCCTTATTCACACACTAAAAGTTCGGTACAGCGGCCATCCTGATAAACCTTTTGATTGGAATAGGGAATAAGCCAATTGCATGATGATCAAAATCATAGTATTGGACAAAACAGTCAGTACATCGCGGAGACCCCTCTTCTATCTGTTTTCAATGTGTGCTGATCACAAACTAGTACAATACCTAATTAGGCTATTAAATTTTTTATTTAAAGGGCTAATCCCGATATTTATTGGAGAATAAAACTGCTTAATTTTATGTTAAAATCCCTTAAAATCCTCTAGCTAAGGGCCGAGCAACTAACTCAATATTTGTGATAAGTTTTCAAACAACTTAAACCCGTCAGTCTTCATATGGGAATGGAGACCGGTGTCCCAAGCTGTATTATGCGGTGTCTGGATAAAACCAGACTTTTATTTTATAAAAATAATGTGTAGGTGAAATTTATCAGGTCACCAAACGAAAAAACTGCCCCGAAATCTTAAAAGGGTTACGTGTCCGGATAAGCAGTTTTGACGTTCACGTCCAAACGGCTCAATATTTTGGGCTGGAATTTCGAGAGAAGGTAAATACACCATTCGTCTATATTTTGGCGCTTAAATTTCATACGTACTCTGACTTTTATTTTTGAGACTCTCTTGAAATCGGGATAGTCCCTTTAAATTGTTTCTGATAAGTATTAACAAATTTATTAACTATATGAAATAAACAATGGTCCTCACAATAGTTATTTCATTTCTCTATCACGATTCTCGATAATAAAACCAAAGACGATGTCAACAATGACTCTTCATTGCATACCGGGCTGGTATGAAGCGTCTTGTGCTGTAATGTCGCTTATCGTGAAAAAGTTTTGAATGTTACCACTTCTGGCATGCATTTTTTCCCCCTGCGTTTTATCTAGTTCACTGCTGTTTGTTGTCCGGACACTATCAAAATGAGTAGAAGTTTTGGAAATGGTGGGAAAATATCACATGGTTTCCGCGTGATTGGAATGAAAGATGAAAGGGGGGTACATCCCTTCGATGCCACGTGATTACTGTCAGACATTCCAACTTCTACAGTAGATGCCGATAAAAATTTAGAAATAATTTAGTGAATTGTATTGTTATGCTAGGATACTTTAAAAATTTAGACAAAATTTGTATCAATAAGTAATAACTTATAACATAGATCATACTACCGACAAATGAGTTTCCATTAGATGATTTTATTTTTACTATAATTTTAGAAATGGCGGGAGAATGTCACGTGATTGCCACTGTTGGCCGACCATAGGGGCCTGTTTCACGAAATTTTAACTAAGATAAAATCCAAATTTTAGTAATTTGATTGGATAATATTAGATTGATTTTAATGCTTAGCCAATCAAAATTGAAGTATCTACTAAAATTTGGATTTTATCTTTAGTTAAGATTTCGTGAAACAGGCCCCAGGACGCTATCGCTTTGATGTTTCATTCATTACCGCATGAAAGCCGACGTCTATTATTGACATACAGGTACCGATCACTCTGGGGAATTATATCGTAATCAACATTTAAAATATGATATCTCGCCTTTATTCATTAATGATTAACGGGCCCGTAGCCAGCTCATAAAATTTGGTGGGGTTACGGAATGTTTTGCGGGGCGGAGGATGTGGCCGGCTAAGAACGCTCCTAAGAAATCATTATATTATTGTTGGCAAAATATTGGGGGGGGGGGGCGTGATACAGCAAATAATTAAGTTCGTAATAGATGGACTGTATTTTTGATTGCGTAGGAAGCGTGGCCCAATTTTATTACTTCAAAAACACAGCGTTCGTCATCGTGTTTGATTCCCGAGGTAAAAAAATTAGTACCATGCGTTTCCCGACTAACAATGACATATCTATACATAGGCATTTTAATGTGTAATAGTTTTTTTTATCCACCACTATCGTTAAATGAATCTGTATCGGGCTATCGGCCGATATATTTCGCAGTCAACCGATAGGTGGTAGGTGCCATATTCAATTGGACCATCATTACCAGAAACCCAATTCTTAAGTTGCGCCAGTGGTGGGTGTGGTAGGAGGAGCAACCCATAGTACCCCCTGGTTTAAAACGTCAACAAATAACCGGTATAATTGCTTCTAACACTTTATTTATTTTCTCTGGTATATAAAGCGTTCTGAAATGTAAGATAAGCAAAGACTCTCAGAAACTACCCATAAAAACGAATTTACATGGGAGACAACTCTTTAAAACATATCAGCCAGTTTTACATTATTAAATGGAGTTACCTCCCCTAGACCAAGTCAAATCGAAAAATGCCTGATTGTGGATTCTCAACCCAACTTGTCCAAGGAATCAGAATCACCTGACTGACATAATTATGCAATATTCTTGAATGGCAAATAGATCACAAATATAGGCTTTTAGGCATAAAACTATAAAACACAATAGGTCAATCCTAAACCTAACATTACGAGAACCAACACATAAAAAAACAGTACGTCAGTAGGCCTACACCTTTCCTTTCGCTTCACTTATTCACGGGATGAAAGAAAGAAAACTCTATTAATTACTTATAAAAAAATTATATAATACTATTGCGAAATCTTAATAATTGAATATGTACCTGAAGGGTAGATTTACTGGTATTTAAATGACTAGTACAATAATAAAGAAACGGAAACATGCCTGCCTTGCACGCTCTTCACATGTATGCACAAAAAATGGCGGTAATTTTACAGGGAGTAATCATGGGAATTAATTATACGGGGGGCATTCATTAAAACGCCCATTATTAAACAAATGAAATGAAATGAAATGGGGTTTAACGTCCTACTGTTCTGCTCCTAACCTGGGCTAATGAAGACGGGCATACGCCATACAGTGTGCTATGAGGGAAATTTTGCCCGGACAGCGGCACTACGGCCTACTCTTATATCGAATTCCAACTGCCAAGGGATCTTTTACGAGCACGCCAATGTGTACACGGGACCTCGGTTTTTCGTCCCATCCGAACGACTAGACAGCTTTCCTTGCCAGCCCCTCCGTCCTGCATCACTGACAAGGGAGAACCACGCCGGAAAATCTGGATGAAGTTTCTCGGCCAATGCAGGGATCGAACACCCGACCATTATTAAACAAATTAAAGTATCAGCTTTTAAATGACAGTGTCTGAGTGTCCGTATTTCAAAACATCCCCAAAAATCGTTTCATTCAACATGGAAGGTGCAAGTTCCACTTCAGTGGAGGCTGGTTAATTCCCGATTTGTCAGCGCTTCCCGACGTCGCACCTTTCATGTTAGTTAAATTTTTAATTAGGGTCATTCGGTGCAAACCAGCATTATTCTCTTCTTAAGTACACTGACAACCAGACATTTCATTCTTAAGTTGATGATAATGATTTCTGATATCATTCCGCACAATTTAGACCTGGTTTCACACTCGCGCCTTTCATGTTGATTAACATTTTAATTACCGATTACGGTTAAGTATTATTTTCGTTTTTTTTTTAGATTATGGCATACTTTTTAAAACTTCATTAATTTTATATCTCATACTTTTGAGACTATGTCATACTTATACCTATAACTTCATTACTTTTATATCTCATATTTTTGCTCGTACCAAAATAAAACATGTGGATGTATTTGTTTGTGGACACTTTACAGGTCACAATTTTTATCCGATTTTCACAAAACTTGAAATATAGGTCTATCTCCCAAAGATCTCGGTTCCTTTCGATATTGGCATGTATCGGACCGTAACTTCATGGAATTTTAGCTTTTGAAGTTGTAATTAAACCCACTCGTTGTTCTGTTCGCGTCAGACATTCTCGTCCGAAAGTCTGTTTTGCCTTTTATGCGAAAAGACAAAAATGTGACTTAGATCGTTCTTCCCCTGGGCTCTTCATTTGGATGTTATGCTTTGTGTGTACATTGACTTTCCTGGTACTAACCATATTAGTACAATGACATGTATGCCTATGTTTGGATTAAACTTTCAAGAAATGGACAATATTATTATCAAGATCAGTAGGACGTAAACCCCATTTCATTTCATTATTATTACAATAAAGTCGAACTTTGTAACACTTTTGTAGAATTTTTGCTCTTGAAATTAATGATGGCATTATATTGTATTAATTAATATCTTTGGCAAGTTATTAGATTCACATATCTGTAGTATGTACTTAAACCAACTTAGTGAATGAATGACATATTGTTATATAAAAAAGAGTCATAATGTGCTAAACATTCAATTCTAGGTTGATAACATATATCCTGTGGGAAGTTTCTCCGGTAAATTTCCACTTTCCATATAAAGGTGGGTTTCGACGTCATTAGCCTAAATTGACCAATCTCTTTGATTATTTACATCATATTTGACCAATTGGATAATTAAACGTCAAAACCCAAGCTACAACACTTATCATATTTGTGAGAATTCGTCAGACAGCAGCTTGATTCCAGAAGGGAAAAGATGTACCAATTTCTATCAGCAGACTCGCCTAGCCGAGTCTGGCTGGATGACGTTTGAGAGAATGACTTTATTCTATTATACATTGTACCATATGTAAGCAGCTATGATATATAAAATGTAAAAACGAACTGTTGCATTGTTATTCCTGGTAAGACAAACGTCTTAATAAAACAGTAAGAAGTAAATACACAACGTGAAGGGGAAGCAAAGAAGACAGGTGAAAATACTAGACGATC